TTTTCTAAGGCTCTCATCCGCTGTACCGACGGCATTAATTTACACAAGCTCGCCAAGAAGGTAGCTCGATGTTAACCCTATCTATCTTGTCCTCAATATGTCCATTGATATTAAGTTTCCAAACCATTTTCTTCATTATGTGTCCAAGGAATTTCAGCTGTCTTGATTCTGTGTATAAGTGTTGTTTTGGTTACTATTTTCTTTAAGACTTCCTCGTTGCTTAACCGCTCCAACCATGGAATTCTCAGTATGCTTCTGTAGAACCACACATGTTGCCTCCAGTTTTCACTTTATATGTGGGGAGATTGTCCAGCATTCATTGCCATATAATCGGATGGATATTACATAACAATCTAGCAGTAATTATTTTTTCTAATGAAATTTTCCCGTTTTTCGATCAATCCTCAGTTGCAACAACCAGAGCTCTGATATATAATAAATATAATTGGTACCTCGAGGCGGTGCAATAGTTAGCAAGTTTGTCTCACTAGAACTATTACGACTTAGTGAGTTCGATCCTCACTGGGTATCCCCTATTTTCGGCCTTGGGCCACATCTAAGCTACGCTTGGAAAGTCACTATATAATAAATATAAAATTTCTCAATATTATTAATATTAATAATTAAAGGAATTGCAATGAGGAAACAACTTGGATATGGGTGCAAAATGGACATCTAAATAGAGAAATTGAATCTCTGCTGATTGTAGCCTACAACAACCCCATAGCAACTGATATATAAAGAATAATGCAAAATGAACATAAAAGAATACAATAAGGAAAACATATTAAATATTTTTTTTCTGTTCAAGCGGATTATAACTAAAAGAAAACTGAAAAAAACTGAATCAATATCTGAATCTCGATAAAGAAATTATAGAAAAAGAAGATGATAGTCATACCAGTTTTTGTTGGATCACTGACAACAAACTAAAAAATTGGTCAAAGAGGCTGGAAATTTGAGGAAGAAATTGAAACTTTTCAAACAACTGAATATTTAAAAATAACAAGATTTTTGAAAAGAGTGATGCCGTATTAGAGGATTCTTGCTGTTAGTTCATTCTTGTAACCCACTGTTCGTGTGAAGATTTTATGAACAACATGAGACTGTTCTGGTAGATCAGTGAATCAGACTGAAATACTTAGAAATTAAATATCAAGCCAATTCTCAATAACTGTAATGGTAATATTATCATGTCACAATTGTGCCTGTCCCGCGCCTCTTCGTTAGTTCGCACGACCGTTACGCCCTGTCAATACTTCATAGATAATGGAATATTCAGTTTTGGTCGCTTGCAAAGAGGGGAAAAGACACTACTTGGTTTCACTGAAATAAATGAATGAAAGAAAGAACGAAAGAAAGAAAGAAAGAAAGAAAGAAAGAAGGGGTGATATAAGAGCTTAACGCTTCTTGTCAATGCCTTATAAATAATGGACTATTTTGTTTTGATCGAGTGGAAAGGGGGAAAAGACACTACTTGGTTTCACTGAAATAAATGAATGAAAGAAAGAACGAACGAAAGAAAGAAAGAAAGAAAGAAAGAAAGAAGGGGTGATATAAGTGTTTAACGTTTCCTGCCAATGCCTTATAAATAATGGACTTTTTTTCTTTTGATCGAGTGGAAAGAGGGGAAAAGACACTACTTGGTTTTCAGTGAGAAAAAGAAAGAAAGCTAGAAAGAATGAAAAGAAGATAGAAGTATTTAACATCTCTTGTTAATATCTCATAAGTAATAGATCGCTCGGAAAGAAAGGATAGAAGTATTTAACGTCTGTTTCAGTGAAATACAAAGAGCTGTCAATTTCAAATCTTTTCATTTGTACCCACTTCTTAAACTGAAGACCAGCATTCATATTTTTGATTGTTATTGCAATATTTTCTTAAAGTTGCTAAGCTCAAATATTTAACGATTTGATAAGTAAATTTCTACGGATATTTTATTGTCGTCGTACTCGCCATACTTATTCAATTATTAACTTAAGTATTAAAATTCATCAGAATATTAAAATAGGTAAACGGTGACATTTTCATAAATTTACCTTTTTGGAAAACCTCAACCGTTTTGTCATTTGAACGCAGAGTCTTATCTAGAATTTCTATACTATTTCTTGACGTGTCTGTCTTCAGTAATGGGTAGAATGTGTATATCTAGTTGTTCCTGATTATCGGCAAAACAATTTATTGATATTGATTTACTAAAATTAAATCGATTATGATCAGCGTGAGCTGTCGACCACCGAATATTTCTTGTGATATTCACATATCGTTTGGCTTACTTTCTACGATGTATTTTATTAAGAATTTAGTCGATATTTTCGCTTGAATGTAATAGTGAGAATACATTAAGAAATTACAGAGAAATCCAGTTTTTATTTCTCAGACCTTCATTTGAACAGATATAATTGAATCTTTTGCACAGTTGTGGCATTCCAACCCATACATTTTTTTTGTTTTGTTTTGGAACGGCAGTTATTTTTCTTTTTCCGATAACGTTTCTAACGTCGAACATCTAATCATAAGAAATACATAACATGAGGCTATTTTAAATTTTCTGGAGGATGTTACTTTGCCTTGGGATTTCATCTATTCTTTTATTCTCGAGATTCTAGTTTTGATAAATCAAATGAAAGAATCCTGTCAGACGCACTTGGCATCTGCTTGAAAAGCAATTCTTTTTGACATATTCAATAACAGACAAATTCACTTTGATGTTTATATCATGTATGCAATTCTCTTTTAATTTCCCAAAGTACATTGATTGCTAAGCATTTTTTCTTACATTTAAATGAATTCCTTTGATGGAATATTGTGTTTTTTTTTAAACGTATGTTCTCCGTAACGGTTTTCATATACATGTTTACAACGTAACTTATATCAAGTAGACACACTAACACATACACAAGTATATAGAAAGACAAAGAAGCAAACAGGCACATACACATACATATATATATATATATATATATATATATATATATATATATATATATATATATATAAGGACATATAGATATATAGATATATATAAAAGACATATATATATAGAAAAAAAAACACTAATATATATATATATATATATATATATATATATATATAAACACACACACATATATATATATATATATATATATATATATAAAAGGCATATATATATATATATATATATATATATAAGACATATATATATATATATACATATAAAGGATATATATATAGAGAGATATATAAAAGACATATATCTATATGTATAAAAAACACACACACACACACATGTATATATATATATGTAAAGACATATATATATATATATATGTAAACATATATATATATATATATATATTATGGACATATAGATACATAGATATATATAAAAGACATATATATATATATATATAAAAAAGGAAACACAAATATATATATATATATATATATATAAAGACACACATATATATATATAAGACACATATATATATATATATATATAAAGGCATATATATATATATATATATATATATATATATATATAAAAAGACATATATATATATATACATATAAAGGACATATATATATATATATAAAAGATATATATAAAGGACATATATATATATATAAATAAAACACACACAAATATATATATATATATATATATATATATATATAAAAGATATATATATATGAAGGGCATATATATACATAAAAGACATATATATATATATATATATATATATATATATATATATATATATATATATATATATATATATATATATAAAAGGACATATATATATATATATATATATATGTGTGTGTGTGTGTGTGTGTGTAAAAGAAACCCACACAAATATATATATATATATATATATATATATTTGTCTTTTATATATATCTTCTCCCTCCAGCTATGGGTAAAATAGCAGGATAGACTGGGTTCTATAGCCTTGGATGGCAACTGGTCTAGGAGAAGGACAACTCTGAATTCAAAACTTGAGTGGGGTTGTTTGGGGACCTTGTGGTACGTAGTGCTCCAGGTCTCTGTAATCAGCCCTTCAAAAAGTGTGGATGGTCCTGCACGAAACCTTCACCACTATAATCGAATCTCATGTGCCGGTGTCGGACTGTCAGTTTCCTGGAAACTGATCTGCTTGGCCCTCATACGTCGAACCCGACGGAAGAATCGATTTTATATATATATATATATATATATATATATATATATATATATATATATATATATATATATATAACCTTTCTAAAACTGTAGACGCTAAAATATTACGAAATGCTTACCGTTGCTCATTCATATAAAGTGTAACCTCACAAAGTGCTCCACAAATGTAGCCTTGTGTCAAATTAAGCTAAGTTATCTTATGTTCTGTAGCCTTTCAGGAGGATGGTGCTCATGACTCGCCACCAGTTCTTAACCTTTGTAATTCTAAGCATTTTAAGCGATATTTGTTCTTCGATTATCCTCAGTTGTCACTATTCTGCCATCAATTGAAGCTCGTTGGGTCAGTGTCTTCCTTTGACCATGTTACTTTCAATATGCCATGTGAGAGTCAAATTCTCCAAGCCGTTTTTTCTCATTTTGATTCAGTAATTGCTCGAATAATTAAAAAACTGAATTGGTCTAATTCCACACGACAGTAACTTTTTATTCCCATCATAGTAACTGTAGCTATAAATCACCATAGAAATGCAACTCTTAAATAGATTTTCCTCCGAACTGTAAAATTAATGAAATACTGGACAATAATTAATAACTTACAATGCTTCGTCGAAGAAATTCAAATAATATAACTATTTCTATGTAAATTGCATTCTATTTTCAATGCTTCATGTATCTTTTTTGTTAGTTTAGAACACGAATGGTCATAGATTATGAATGACAAGACAAAAATTAATAATAATCACAATACTGTATGTAAAGAAAAGTATGTTATTAGTTTTAAAATGAACGCCAGCTTGTAAATTTGGTGGCTGCAATTTTAATGTAATTCAAGACATCCGAAAATTTGTCTGTCTATCTATCTATCTATCTATCTATTTGCTTTTATACATTATAAAATACCATATTTTCTCTTTTTAAAATCGGTAGACGAATTTATTAGTAAGACTGGCAATACTCTTTTTAATTCCAAGGAAGATTTCATAAGATAAAAGAAAATATTTGCAATGATTACCAGCAATTACACGATAAGCATTTTACAAGCATATAAATATACTCAGTGTCAAAGGAAAAGTTTAGTATAAACATTCCTCCATGATTTGATTATCAAACGATGGACAATAAATAGTTACTCCTTTTTATTGCATACATACATACACACACGCACACACACACATACACACACACATACACACACACACACACACACACACACACATATATATATATATATATATATATATATATATATATATATATATATATATAGGACGATATGGCCGTCCAGTGCTTTCCGCATTCTTTTTTGAGGTTTCTTCAAGACTCGATGAATTACTCAATTATAATTAATTATAATTATCTCAAATCCTCCTAATTTCTATCACTTATATATATACATACATAAATATATATATATATATATATATATTCAGTTGTATCCATAATATATATATATATATATATATATATATATATATATATATATATTCAGTTGTTGTATCAATATAACTGATTATGTTGGCTCTATCACTGATATTGAGCACTTACCAATAACTACCACTCATATATATATATATATATATATATATATATATTATTATGTTTAATGCAGTTTTCAAACCAGCCTAGACATTTAGTAGACTATAATAACAAATGTTTTGTAATGCATTTTGATTATATTGTATTTTTTTAGTTTTTTTTTCTGTACGGCATTGATCACTGTCAACACTTTATAATATTTAAATGGTAATTTACTATTTTTCCTAAAACGGGCCAGTTCAGCCAGGCAACAATGCTATAAAATGACAGAAGTGAAAGTGTTAACTATCTGAAAAAAGAAGTATATATTTTTCAGGCTGATTTAAATCGATCAAATTAATGTTGCCTTTTCCCAAGTTTCATTGTCTCTTCTTGCCGACTATTCTCATAGTGAGAGAATAAATTTTTAATTGGCATACTTTTGTGTACTCTGCGCCATATATTACGAAACATTGCCAATATGTATACAAGTTCACTCAAGAATGCGCTAGAAAAAGGAGCAAAAGATTTAGCAAGTCAGCTATTTCATTGTGCTTAGGGTGGGGAGATAAATTATATGAGACTGGCCGCTGAAAATATAACACTAGAGGTGGTAAACTCGACAACTGAATTTAAACTCCCGTTCAGTCCATTTTGCTCCCAGCATTCCCTTGTGGTACCGGAAGATGCTGATTGAAAAGGAAACTCACTGTTGTAATATCAGCGAGAGAGAACATATATATATATATATATATATATATATATATATATATATATATATATATATATATATATATAAAATCGATTCTCCCGTCGGGTTCGACGTATGAGGGTCAAACAGATCAGTTCCCCAGAAACCGACAGCCCGACACCGGCACATAAGATTTGGTTATAGTGTTGAAGGTTTCATGCAGGACCATCCACACTTTTTGAAGGGCCGAATACAGAGACCTGGTGCACTACGTGCCACAGGGTCCCCAAACGACCCTCCGCAGGTTTTGAATTCAAAGTTGTCCTTCTCCTAGACCAGTTGCCATCCAAGGCTATAGAAGCCAGTCTGTCTTGCTATTTACCCAAACCTGGAGAGAAGAAGAAGATGATTCATACCCTTACCAAGGGTATTAGCACGTAATTCGAACTCGGTTGTCCTATTCCTTAATCCGAGACGCCAACCATTATTCTACCGTGCGTCCTTATATATATATATATATATATATATATATATATATGTGTGTGTGTGTGTGTGTAAAGAAATATATGAAGTGTGGTATATTTATGGGATAAAGTGTTCAATATCAAAGATAGAGCGTATGTAAGTATAAGGTGAACATTGAAGTCAACACTCAGGGCGACAGGCTGTTTCCTGCTAGACGCCTGACGATTGCGTCTAGTATGAAACAGCCTGTCGCTTCTAAGTGTTGACTTCAATGTTCACTTTTATACATACATACAGATATATATATATATATATATATATATATATATTAGATAATCGTTATATTTATTTTTTATATGTTTATATTTGATTTGTAACCTGTAGTTGATATTAATTTCGTCAAATTTTCTTAATTACACAGCGGCCCTTTTAATAAATGCCCTTCAGTTTTAGTTTTCCCCACCCCATCTCTATCCTCAGCCCCTTTTCTTTTCTTTTCCTCTCCCTATCTCATCTTCTGATCTTTAAGATTAGATCGTCTATTGTGTGTGTATGTCACCACAAAATGTATTCTTTCCGGTTACATCTTTAATGTATTAGACATCCGACAACATTCATATTTCTCTCACTTTAACCGTCTTTAACTCACCTCTCTAAAACTTCTCTCTGTTAAATTTTAATCCCCCACCTTCTCTCGTCTGTTACCCCTCTCTATAGCTCTAACATTCGTCCCACACTCTCATAGTTACACTCTCTCTAAATTCTATTTTTATTTCCTGAGTTGTTTTTGAATTTGTAGGTCTGATGAATTGGATCGTATTTACGATTCCAATGGAATAAATTATGACCATGGAATATTAGTGTTTAAGCCTTTTTATTATATCCTTACTCTGTCCTGGACATTGAGTTCTACCTGGATTCTATCCTCTTGGATTTTTTTATAAAAAAATCTATATGTATGTGTATGCATGTATGTATATATATATATATTTATATTTTGCATATGTATGTGTATATTTGCCACTAATATTATCTATATATATATATGTGTGTGTGTATATATATATATCTATGTGTGTGTTTGTGTGTCTCTGATTTAATTTCTTCTTCGTTTATGTGCTTTGTCTCCTTAAAGACGTTAAGCACTTTCTTTATTTGTTTCTCGTGAAATGTTCTTGTTATTTACTACATTGTTGAATGTTTGGTAATCATCTTTCGTAACAAATATTTTTCCATTGTTTGTCTTCAAAGGTTTAAAATCGGTGTGACGTCGTGTCTTCTCTTGTGGCTTGAATAATTACTTATTTTTCCCGAAGCCTGAGCAAAAGCCATGATTCGAATAATTAATTTTGGGGATAGAAGACCATCCCAACTGAGATGATTGGCTATTTCCTATTGCTGGAAGCATTATTTTAGTAGATACATATGTTTATGTTGTTCCCTCTAATAAAGAAAAGTTTGTCTCTGCAAAATTGAAATAAAATAAAACAGGCAGGGTTATCAATACAAGCACGTGTACTCAGTAAAATAACGTTTATATTAATAAGAAATAATGTCGGATATAAAAATAAATCCTTTTCAAAACTTTGGCTATATGTTATTTTTTATATTTGTTCCCCTGCTATCCGAAGCTAAGCGAAGCAATAATCAAGATTAAAATAAGTAATCAATTAAATGTATACGAAGGAAAGAGACGTAGCTTCAATGTAAAAAGTATGTTTGCAAAAATTGTTTAATTCTCTTCAAACAAACAACTTAAAAAAAAAAATCATTTCAGCCCAAAGCAACGCGATAATGACACTAAAACACAACAGGGATTAAAAAACAAAGAAACAAAACAAAAACTAAAACGTGAAGACCTTAGTGAGGCGAAAGGACAATAAAAGGACAACATTCAGAAAGACAGGAAATGGCGATGGACATTGCATTAAAATTTTTGAGGAGCGTAGGTGACAGAGAAACAAGGAACTGGAAGAGAATCCCACAGGCTAGAAGCACAAACAAAGAAACTATTAGAATAGAACTTACGGTTACATCTAATCATTTCAACAGTAAAATGATGAGACCTAATAGCCAATTGAGTAGTACGTTTATATTCATGCAGTCGACGCACCAAGGAGGCGATCTCATTAGAACAATTGCGATAAAAAAATATTTATAAAAAAAAACAAAAAACCTCGGCGCTGGAAAAGTGACTGAAGTCGAGATGCCAGGTGAGGACCGATAAATTTACAGACTCTTTGTCGGAAATCTTGAGATATATAACAAGCACCAGATCATATATGGCAGCATTATTCAATAAACGATCTTGGACGTATTTGATGCAGCATCTCAGGGGCTGTTCAGAAGTGTGTCGAAAGCAGTTGTCTTTTATAAGAAGTGGAATGGCTTGTATTTTGGCAACGAATTCGTTTGGAGGATTTCATGTGAAACTGGCCTGTAAAGGCTAACATTTATTGTCGCAACTTGGCAAACACACAAAATATTTTGGCAAATTATTATTATTGTACCTATTTTGCACCAAAAAAAAAAAAAAATACAGTCTAATCAAATTATCTGCTGGCCTACATTTAGTTTATATATCTGGTGTAACATCAAAATTGTCCAAATCATGCAAAATCAAATTTTCCATTTATTATATTAATCTTTGAAACATTGTATCTTAGAAATGATTAAAAATATCTTACTGCACTTTCCCAAGGTTTTTTTTTATAACACTACCGGACTTTAAACAATAAGAATGTATAATTACTCTCAAAGATTAACATAAGAATCGTGATGAAATTGATTATAAACGAAAATGACCTGCTCATCATTAAATAATCATAGCTAAGTATCGAAAGCTCATGAAGTATTGGAATAAAGTTCATATATATATATATATATATATATATATATATATATATATTGATATAGCTGCACTGAGAAGTAACCATCGGTCGACTACATGAAACGAGAAAGCAAAATAAGACATCTTAACAGTGTTCCTGCTGCACTTGGATACAATACCTTCTTCTGTACTGTTTGTGGTCTTTTGTGCAATTCTGTGTCCGTCATGGTCATCGGCACCTTATATGTCGAACTTGACAGGTGAGTCCATCATATGTATATTAAGCCAGGATCATTTTCTAACATATCCAAGATGACCCTCACTCTCTTTAACCTTCTAACTTTCTGTCCTGAAGTAAAAATGTGCCTGACATCTTACACGTACGATTTCATTATCAAGTCTCTTTGGACTGTCATAGCTGAAACTGCTCTCTCATGT